CTGTGCGGCCGGACCCTGCCCGCGGCCTGGAGGCCCGGGTGCAAGGTCCGAAATCCCGGCCTCCATTTCACCCGCCTGGGCGCGCTGAGAAAATGGTCACGGCCCGCTGTCGCTGTTCAGAGGAACATGATTCAGTGCCCTTGAGCTCAGTTCATCTTTTTTACCAAAGATTTAAATTAGAAAAAAAAACACCCTTGAGATCTACATCCCGAGTTAAAGTTCATAATAAATGTTTACTATACTGAGATGTGCAACCCTCAACTGCAATCAATACTAGAACATTTCATTACACCCTCTCCCCCCAGCAAAAAACCTTGTACCCAAAACTTTGTGCCCATTAGCAGTCGCTGCCCTTTTCCTCCCTGCCCTAGGCAATCCCCAGTGTTTGTCTTTATAGATTTGCTTATCACAGGCATATATAAATGGAATCACATGCTCTGGAGCCTGTTGTATCTGGCTGCTTTCACTTAGCAGTGTTTGCAAGGTTCATCCATGTTGTACAACGTGTCAGTACTTCATTGTTTCTATCACCAAATTATATTCCATTGTATGGATAGAGCACATTTTATTTATCCAGGCATTAATTTATGGGCATTTAGGTTGTTTCCATTTGGGGGCTTTTACGAATAATGCTGCCGTGAATGTTCACATCCAGGTTTTTGTGAGGACACGTTTTCATTTATCTTGGGCGTAGACCTAGGAGTGGAATTGCTGGATCTTGTGGCTGGAAAGGGGTTTCTCTGGGAAACAACCTTACAGGGTGGTCTGGTCATAAATTCCTAACTGGGCAGGTGGTGCTGGGTAGTCATGCCCCAAGAACTTTAATAAAAGGCTTACCTTTGCCTTAAGCAAGCCCTGTCTGTTGTTTCTGTGCATCTAGGTTTACACACCTTTGAAATTATCCTTTTAGGCCCCTGAACACATAATCTTATTAACTATCCTGTAACCCAATCCCCTCCTTGCTTTCTCCCACCTTCAGGTAATCTTCCTTCCTTCCCTCTTTAATTCTAAATGCACAAAAGAAGCTGCACACTCATTTCTTGGAAGCATTTATCTCAGTGTGTTGAGAGCTTGCTTCCAGGCTTATCCTGTTTGGCTCAAATGCACTTTTATAAAAATTGTCTATAGGTTTGACGGTTCTTACATTGACAATCTTGTGATAACTCTGTTTCACCAAAACTACTAGACTGTTTTCCAAAGCAGTTGCACCATTTTACATTTTACATTCCCATCAACAATGTACGAGGATTCCAATTCCTCTATATCCTCAGCAACACTTCTCGTGTCTTTATTATTATTATTATATTATTTATTTTAGAGGGGGAGGAAAGGAGGAGATAGAAACTCCAATGAGAAAGAAACATGGATCAGAGCCTGCAGCCCGGGCATAAGCCCTGACTAGGAATCAAACCTGTGACCTCATGGGACTGCGCTCAACTGAGCCACACCGGCGGAGCACATCTGCCTTTTTCATCACAGCCTCCCTAGTGGGTGTGAAATGACATTTCATTGTGATTTTGACTTGCATAAGGCACATATTTTTGCTTGCTTGCTTTTCCTTTCTGTTGTTTTTAGAAACACTAAGGAGCTCAGGAGCAAAGGAGCTGAGTTTTTCTTCTTCATTAACTTACTGCCCAGAGTTAGCCAAATTACAAGGTGTAAGGGCACAGGCCCCAAGACTTGTGACACAAATTTCAAGTTTGCTAAGTCTCTAGAAGGATTAACAGAACTCACAGAGAATTGTTATACTCATGGTTATGGTTTATGACAAAGTCAGCTAAAGAAAAAAATGCCTGGGGCAGAGTATGGGGGGCTCTAAATGCACAGCTTCTGTTGCCATCTCCTATGGACTCAGGATGTGCGACCCTCCCAGCATTGGTGTGTGACCGTTTACATGGAGCACTGCCAACCAAGGAAGCTCAGAGACTTTTAGAGACTTTTAGTGGGGCTTCCTTACATGGGTGTGATTGATTGATTGATTGATTGATTGATTGACCCTATGGCTGGACTCAGTCACCAGGTCAATTGCTAATGCATGATACAAAGCTTCCATGTATATCACATGGTCAGTCTTTCTGACATGGCCACGCCCTCCTTAAAATCCAGTTTGGCCAGCCCTCATCTAAACAAAGACACTGCTCTCAGGTATGACATTCCTGATTACTTCCCAGAAGCCAAAGACAAAGGCAGACCTTCTCTTTGGGCAAGGCCAAATTCTTTACTACAAGGTCACTACCTGGTCTTTGTTCAAAGCTGCCCTACAGATAAACAAACAGATATCTAATATTTGGAGGAGGCAGTGTGGAGTAGAAGGCTCTTAACTCAATTGCCCTATAGATTTGACCATCAATATCAGCATTGCAATCTCACTAATAAGACAGTGACAGCATTACACCGTATTATTGTACCAGGTAGAAAAAAAGAAAGTTGAGCCCAGTTGGCGTGGCTCAGTGGTTAAGCGTCGACCTAGGATCCAGGAGGTCACAGTTCGATCACCAGTCAGGGCACACGCCTGGTTTGCGGACTGGATCCCCAGTCAGAAGCGTGTAAGAGGCAGCTGATCAATGACTCTCTCATCATTGATGTTTCTCTCTCTCCTGCCCCCTTCCTCTTTCTGAAATCAATAAAAACATATATTTAAAAAAAAAGTTAAGGTGATATGGAGAAAAGAGAAAAGTGTAGTCACAAGAAGTACATAGGCACACTAGCACCCTCTCCCACCCTTTCTCCTCCAGACCCCAGAAAAGTGGTGGAATCTGTGTAGTGGAGACTGTCCTTGGTCCCCCTTCTGCTAAGTGTGAGCACACACTCACCAAGGCCTGTAAGTCAGCCCTCCCTGCCTTTATCTTCCCCTCCCCTGTTCCAACTGCCTCTTTCGACGCGCTATTAGACCTTTACTCTGAGGATGATATGCGACACGCTATGTCCATTCGATGTGCTCTCTCTTTGACCACTGTCAGACTCTGTGTGCTGTAAAATGTGCTTCGAGGTCTGAAGAAACATAATTTGGAGGTCCAAACTGGTGCAATATTCTGGTTCAGTCTTTTATAGCATTTTGAGCACTGCATCTACCTCTGGGCATGCAAATCCCAGTCCAGAGTCAGTCTATTCTGGTCAAGGTCCATTTGTAAACTTCCAGGGCTAAAAGCATCTGCCTGCCTCCAGCTCTGTGTCACACCTTCCCTCTGGGGAATCTGCCCAATAGCCATCAGTAGCCTCTGTGCTCTTGTTGGCACAGAAAAATCCTCTTTAACGGCCAGTTTTCTATTGCCTTTCTACTTGACTGTATGGCCAGGCCATTAGCCAGTGCCCAGGAGTTGGTTCAACCCAAATAGGGACTAACAGCATGTAACTCAGCCAACTGAACTGGTTTTTACCGTCTTCAGAGTGGCAGCCTTCCAAACAGGATGCTCTCCATTCATCTTTAATCTGACATCCATAAAAACAAGCAGATCTTCTTTTGGTCAATAGAGAGCTATGCATAGGACACTTGCCCAAGTGGCCAAGGGCACTACAGGTCCAGGAATTCCTCAGATGGTTCCAAAGTCAGCCCTGGAGTCTGTTTGCCATGAACACAGTTAACCTCTTTGCATTTCCTGGTAGCATGTTCCGGCAAAACCCATCCCACTTCATTATGAAACTCTTCTGGGCACTGCCTTTCCCATTAGAGTGTTTCTCTAACATCACCAAAGAGGACATATCTCCCATTGGTTCTGTCTCTCTGGGGGAACCCTGACTAATACAGGAGGGATCCTGGGTTTAAAGGCAAAACTATGAAACCTTTAGAAAATGCATCGGATTTTAAAAGAATGAAGACTTTGGTCAGTCAGAGGGGGGGAAAATTAGGTCACTTACTTACAAAAGAAATCAGGCTAGTTTCAGATTTCTCCACAGCAACATTCAACACGAGAGGACAATGATAGATCTATAAGATCCTCAAGGAAAGAATGTTGAGCCAAGGTTTTAGATCCAGCTAATCTGTATTTCGCTCACTGAACATGTAATAATTAAAGAAACAGTTTTCCCACGAGAGCTTCTTGAAGAAAGTATTAAGTCTTAGTCCACTTGGGCTGCTGTAACAGATCACCAGAGACAGGGTGGCTTATGAACAATAGAAGTTTGTTTCTCACAGTCTTGGGGGCTGGGAAGTCCAAAATCAAGGTCCTGGCAGATTTGAAGACATAGCAAGAAGGCAGTTTCTGAAAGCTGGAAATAGCTCTCACCAGAAACGGGAATCTGCTGGCACCAGGATCTTGGCCTTCCAGCCTCCAGGACTGTGAGAAATTGTTTAAGCTCCCCCACCCCGCCCCCGGCGTCTGCAGTGTTTTGTTATGCATGCCCTAGCTGGCATCATGCTGTCAAGTAATTTCAAATTTAAGTTATAAACATTACGGAATCCACAAATGTTACTTCACTAAGCCTATTTTGCAAAGCAAGAAGGAAGCAGAGAGCTGACTGACAAGCTGGCACAAGCTCCTTATCAAAGCAACTACTCCAGCAAGTTGTCCAGGCCCGGCAGCTGCCCTTTAGAGCACCCTCCTGCAGAAAACGGAAACAAGAGGACACATGTGGTGACAAAGGAATCCTTCCGAGTTTTAGAAAGCTCTGAGCTAGCTGTGTTTGTCAGCAAGGAATCTAGAAATGAATGTTCTGGCCCTACCCGGTTTGGCTCAGTGGTTAGAGCCTTAGCCCGAGGACTGAAGTGCCCCAGGTTCAATTCTGGTCAGGAGCACGAACCTTGGTTGCAGACTCGGGCCCTGGCCCTGGTTGGGGCGTGTGTGGGAGGCAAGCAATTGATGTGTCTCTCTCCCATGGATGTTTCTCTCTCTCCCTCCTTCCACTCTCTCTGAAAAAGCAACGGAAAAAATATCCTCGGGTGAGGGTTAAAAAAAAAAACATTGTCATGTTAAAATTACATATATACTAAAAGAATTGTCATTACCACCCAGCTGGGCATGGCTCAGAGATTGAGCATCGACCTGGGATCCAGATCACAGTTCGATTCCTGGTCAGGGCACATGCCCAGGTTTCGGGCTCGTTCCCCAGTGGGGGGCGTGCGAAGGCAGCGGATCGATGACTCTTTCATTATTGATGGTCCTCTCTCTCTCTCTCCCTCTCCCTTCTTCTCTCTGAAATATTTTTAAAAAAAATTTGCCATTACCAGTATCTGTGCACCCATGAAACTGCAAAAAAGGTACTCAGCTTTGCTTGTTTTATGAATTGGTCCTCAGTTTCTGAGCGTTAAGTTGCGGTTATTGGAAAATGGTCCTCAGCTACTTTAATGCAGATTCGCCTCGCGCCCACCCACCCCCTGCTGCAGTCTGGCGCTGACGGCTCAGCAAGTGCACATGGGTTTCTAGTCATTTACTCTGCACAGCCCTACTGCCCCCATGAGCCTCTACTGGTTGGCTGTATAATTCAATCTTCCTTCAAGTTCTTTTGGTTTTGAACTTATTTCTTTAGAAATGTAAATTCTACTTTAGTCTTGACGGTTGTATTGTTTCATTAATCAGTGCATCTCCTTAAGGACACACTACGTACGGTTTTAACACTTCACTATCAGTGATGACTACACACCAAATCCTATTTCAAATGAAGTGAGTACAAATATTTTGGCGTTCATTTCTTCATAATCACTCCATCATCATCCTTAGGTACCACGTGCCACATTCAGGAATAGTATTTTGTTTGACACAAAAAAAGTGCAGTTAAATTCATATTATGTCATAAATTAAGATTAAAAATACTACTAGACTTTCCTTCTGAGGTTTAGCTTAGAATGTAAAACTCTTCAGTTAAAAAGAAAAGATACAGGCTTGAAACTGGGAAAGGGCCACTCTTATGAACAGAATTCCAAATAATAAATGTAGCAGGAATGAGAGAAATTGAAAATCACCACTAGAACACAGAGTAATAACTGCTGCTGTAGGCAAGATCGACGAGTGGGTGCAAAACTAAGGAGAAACAGAATGATGCATAGCCTCAGTGCAGCTTCCCCCAAAGAGTTATCTAATACTGTGATTTTAACATATACCCACAAATTCTTGAAGTCTCTCCCTCTAGGAGGCTAAGTTTAATTTCCTTTCCCTTTTCCTCAAGGCTGGACTTGGTAACTAGCTTAAGAACAGAGTGTGGAAAGGAATAATAGTAACTTTACAATAGAAAAAACCCACCAGACATCATCTTAATCACGCGACCAAAGGTGCTGGACATCACTGAGAGTAAGACCGTGACTCGATACGCTGGTGGGCACATCGCTTATGCGGTCACTTCCCCTAAATCCCAAACCTGTCTGAGAGAAGGTATCAGGCAGGCCTAAATTGAGGGACAGTCTTCAAAACATCTGGCCAAAACTCTTCAGAAGTGTCTCAAATCCAAAAATAACAACAAAGAAAGTATCTTAAGCTCATGAAATCAAGGAAAGATTGAGGGAAATCACCAATTAAAGGAGACTAGGAGATAGGATGACTAAATGCCATCCTGGATTGGGCCTTGGAACAGAAAAAGGACATTAGTGAAAAAATTTAAATCAAAACACAGTTGTAGTGTGGTTAGTGGTTAATTTCTTGGTTGGATCATACCATGTTGTCAGCCTTGGGTTGGAAGCTCTGGGTACACAGGAAGGCTCTGCATTGGTTTTAACTCCCCCTCCTGCCCGGGGAGCTCCCGCCCCCTTCTGTTCACAGGTGTGGATCTTGGCCCCCATGGCTTCTGCAGAACCCAACTTGTACTAACGTGTATCACCCAACAGCCAGCCCGACTACTTCTCTTCTTAGGTGTTAAGAAATCCAGATGCAATTTGTATTTTCCTCAAGTTCTTTGCATTTTATTCATGCAGAAGGTAAAATAAGCCTGGTTAGATTTTGGACCCAACTGCCAAAAAGCTTACTTTTGGTAAAAGTCAAGAACCGTTTAGGAAATCTCAAATGATGGCTCTTTGACGCTGCTGGTACCCACTGGCCCTGCACATCAGCAGGAGCTCTTTGCTCAAAGGCTGGAGAGTAAAACACCTGTGGCTACTAATTTGATAGGTTTAGCAAAAAAGAGCCCTAGTGAAGTAAATTCGACCTTCTTTTACTGCAACTGTGCTGCTGTCTATAAACACAGGAGGATGAGACAAGCGTGAAGGGCTTGAGGCACTCAGGGCACAAAGCAGAGGCCAAAAAATCCAGTAATTAAGACAAACAGTACTTTCAAAAAATACAAAATCCATGATGGAGAAAAAAACAAAACCAAAATTGTTGTAAGGATTGTCTTGATATGACCAACGGAACAAACAGCAGAGGTCTGTAATGGGGTTACATCCCACTGCTATTACCCTCAAGCAGGCTACCACTGCACTCTTGGTCTACGTAAATTGTGATTCCGACATTTTTTTTCTTAATTTTAAAAATGACAAATATGTACCACACTCAGTAGGATGGCTATTACAAAAAACAAACAAAACGAAATAAAAAAGAGCAACAGCAAGAGTTGGTGCGGATGTGGGGAAACCGGAACCCTCATGTTTGCTGGTACAGATGTAAAATGGTGCCGTCACAGTTGAAAACAATTCGGCAGATCCTCAAAGTTCAACCCAGATTACCACAGGATCCAGCGGTTCCACTCCTAGATGTAGACCCAAAAGAATGGAAAGCAGAAACTCAAACAGATTTAATAGTTTTAAGTTATTTTTTGTATCTAATCAATGTAGATAATATTTTTTCCTATACAGAAGACCCCAAAATAAAGAAGCATATACAGAATATACACAATACTAGGTTATATCAATTTACTTCACATAAGAACAGCATGTTTTAGGCCTACGATTTCCATTTAATATGAAAAAAACAATCTGTACAAAGAACCCTAAGGCAACCATATAGCATATGTAAATGTGCAAATATACTTTAAAATGCAAGTCATTCCATAGCATTTGCAAGGTAGAGCTTTATAGTAATAAAGGCATCTACCTCATTGTAGCTAACTTAATAATCCTTTGCATGTATAGCCAGTGCAAATGTACAAGGCACAACTTAGTGTTGGTGCAAAAGTGTATACCCCCCCGATTTTTTATTTGAAAATATTAAAATAACATAGTGTCATGTCTGAATTTTATTATTGAATGAGACATCAGTTTATTTCTAAAGCTTCACAAAACATCATACTGACAACATGTGGGGCCAGGACACAGTTCCCTGAACTTAAAACGGTAAAAGACCCTTGCTACCCTATATTAAAAAAATTATATATATATATATGTATGTATGTACACAGACACACCAACATCACACACAAGACACTTCCCATAATCCAAAGGGAAGCCATTCCTTTTAGCACAGGTTCCCATTCCAGTATTTTATGGCAGAATTATTTTAAAAGGACATTATTTATTTACTGCTGGTTTAGGTTAGTCTTGCTACAAAAAGCCACATTTGAAATAATTTTCTCCTTCAAGATAAAGACAGTACCTAATTTAGGAAGTCTTTTTCTTGACATTGCACAGTGAAAGGTGTTATTTAGTTAATACAAAAGCTTGCAGCTTTTAAAGAAATTATTTAAATCTACATGAAGAAAAACATCAACCTACCAAAAAAAAAAATCCACGAACCTTGGCCAGAACATAATTCAAAATCTTCCAAGCCCAATCACAGTGAACTTTGCTGTTTTATTACCCATCCCTGAGAGTAAAGGTTCTATCATTAAAAATTTTTAACACAGTAAATAAATTTACATTGATGAAAATGCTGCTTAAGAATTTTTACAAAATATGAAATAAGCCCTATTTCATTACAGTAAAAAAAGATAAATGTTCTTTACAAAGACCACTATTCATAAGAATTTAAAATATTTGTATTTCAATCAATTTTAACCATTTTTTTTACTGGGTAACTTCTGTTTTGCCATTCATGTATCACTCATTTCCTCAGAGCCCATTATTTCATAATTTTTGTTAATAAGAGCATTTAATTGGTAATAGAACAAAAATACATGTAAAACATAGAGGAACGCTGAAGTGAGATCTATGTTTCCCTGTGATAAAAGTGTTTTACTGGAAATAATCTGAATGCTGTCCAAGAAAGGCAAAAATGCCTGTCAGAAAGAACACTCATGGTAAACGTCTTCCTCATCTTTGGTTTAGCCTTCTTGGCCAAAATCTTCAGAAAACTTCTTTAATTTCAGCAAGTCATGTTCATTGACTGTGGGTTTTGTGCTAGATAGTGACCGTAACATATCCGCCTGTCAGGGAAAGGAGGGAGGAGTGTTAGTAATAGCTTTAACCACTGCATTATCGTCACCATTACTGACTTTCAACTAAGGTGAGATCTGAATATTTGGAGTTTATCATAAGCTACTGACAATAAACTCTTAGTCTTCTAAAGGACAGCCCTGACCACGTTACTCCTCTGCACAGAAACTTTCAACTGCTCACCTTGTCCTGGTCACAACCTTCAATAGCTCCTCATTACCCAGCAGAAAGAGTCAGTTCTCTTAGCCTGAGGATCAGAACCCTCCAAAATATGCCCCTAATCTCTCTTCTGACCTTACTGGTTTTTTGCTTAAACAAAAGAGGGGTTTTCCCAGTGCAACTCAAAAAAATAGTTACTCACTTATATGAAACAGAGTACTATTAGTTAAGATAAAAATGGTAAGAAAATAGGCTAATATTAGGGTTTCGTTAAGTTCTAGGCTATGGCTTTGTCTCTCCTGTAAAATAGTCTGAAAGTGGTCAAAAGAACCAAGACTAATAAATCAAGGATTGAAACAAAAATGGGTTTCTGAATAACTTCTCAGAGAAGTATTATGATTAACACAAATATATCTGTGTGTGTGTGTGTACACACTCATATATTTATATACATATATATGTTCACAGAGGTCTTTATATCTATGTCTACGTATCATGTAAAAGTTTCTCCCCTGGAAGTTACTGTTCATTCTGACATAAAGCTTTTTGAATATCTGTAACAGAAGCAGAAAATTTTAAAAACAGTGTTTATCAATAAGAAAGCATGAACATGACAAATATACCTTTTCAATCACAGTAAGTTCTCTAAAAAATGTATGCCTTACAAAATAAAGCCTAATGAATTATTTTAATTCCTTTAATATAAATACTAGAAATGTAATTTTTTATAAAAATTATTTCAGAATTTTTTTCAGCATTGCATTATTTAAAACTTTCTATAAAGCCTTGAGAAGTAAAACAGAAAATACCATTATTAATATTATGATAGATGCATTAGAGTTTCTGAATGTTTTACCAAATATGAGATTCAGGGGAAAAATTTTTTCACCAATCCTATTTTTTAGTAAGTCTTGACTAATTTATGCAATATATATGAGCAGTTTGGTAATAATATCCCAACTATAAGACCTATAAAGTCAGAAACCTGTGTTTTTGAAAAATAGTTCACTTAAAATTAAATTTTCCTCAAAGCCTAAGAAAACATTTTAAAGATGATTACTTTTTATCTTTTAAGTTCAATTAATTTTTACACCTTTTTAACTGAGTAGATAGTATTAAATAAGCATGCCTGGTCATGCTAACATTTTCTAGCTAATTTTACATAACTGAAAATTTTTATCTTTGATAAATTACAAAGTATGTTTTAAAATTGTTCTTAAAATAAAACAAAATGTCAAACCATGGAAACAATTGGCTCCAAAAGTTTGTCCCCAGGGACATCCACCCATGTCATCTCAACGGCACCAGGGTCCCCGGGAGAACAGGGCGTTAACAGATCATCCACTATGTTGTTAGGATCAGCTCGTGAAGGTCCTCGAACCTGGAATAAAGAGTAATAGAGAATAGTTATCTGAACAAATTAAATATTAAGATTTAAGCGATTGCCAGGAAATTGGAAATATGCTACTATTTTATGTTTCATTAAAATGTTTACTTCTGAAAATAAATAGAAAAATATACAACAAAAAGTGATTATCTCTGGGTGATGGGATAGATTTTGCTTGATTGTAATTTTTTTCTTGATGCTTTTCTATATTTTGAAATTTCCTACAATGACTACAGGGAGAAATGAGTTAAGATTTAAAAAACAAAAACAGAAAAAAACCCCAAACAAAAAAAAACAGCTATCTATGGCTAATATTTCTCTAACACTTACTGAGTGGTAATAATCCTTGAGACCAAAAATAGAAATACGTATTCTGTATTTATTATTGTCTGTCTTTCCTCACAAAAATTTCAGCTGCAGGGATTTTTGTGTTTTTTAACTGCTGTGCTTTGTGACTTACCTCTGGGCCCAGATTAGTACTTTTGATATTTGATAAACAGGCAAACTTGTTCTTGGTGACTGAGAGATGGGAGAAAGGATGGAGCGAGAGAGAGTTGTGCTGTAGTTGGTGATACAAAGGCCTAATGTTAAAAGTGACTGGGCAGCTTCACCCTTATTCCCAACGAGGGCCTGGCCTCAGGGTCGCCGAGGCTGTCCCTGGTAGTATGCATTATAGAGAGCTGAATGAAAAGCTCTGGGTAGGAAAGGAAATGGCAAAGGAATTTAAGAGAAAATACAATGGTTGTGGCAGAACTTGATCCTAAGTCTACTATACTTCTCCCAGCAATGAAACGGCAGAAGAAGGAGAGAGGAGTAACAGTTACTGGGCTATTAAGTACCATGACAGGCGTTTTAATATTACTTCATTTCACTCTCCCAACAGCGCTTTGAAGTAGTGTTACCATCCCTATTTTAGAGATGATGAAAGTGAACCTTAAATAGAGAATGTAGTAATTTGCTCAGGAAGATATAACAGATTGTGGAGTTAGGCTTCAAATTCAGGTTTTAATTCAAGGTCATCATTAAAATAATTTATTTTATTGTGGTATATAAGACACACATATGCATCTTAATCATGATATATTAGTCTTGTCATATATTGCTGGGTTAAGTGTGCTAACAGTTTTTTAGGATTTTCACATCTCTGTTCATGAGTAACACTGGATACTGCTGTCCGCAGCAGGAGGTCCAAATTACCTATACTGTTCCTTAAATTGGATACCCCAAGACCACAGGCTTTTTACCCAACTCTAACTCAACCATCTATGCTGAACTTGCTCATACACACAAAACAGTGCCCGGGAGGGGCAGGAGAGCAGAGTGATTGAGACTTCAGATTCGGAAGTGTTCCTTTCCTGGGGGGGATAAAAAAAATCACACCTCTTGCCCCTCTAGTTGTACCTTGGCAAACTGTGTTACCCTCCAAGTCCCAGTTTAACCATGTTAACATCTATGCCTCAGATTAACTATCAAGGTGGCTGTATGCACCTCTTGTAGTTTGAGTGAAGATCCAATGAAACAGTAAAAGAACACGGTGCCAGCCTGTCGATATTTAAACAATACTGGCTATTATTTTCACTTTGTTAATGAGGTACAAATACACCAGACTCTGCTCTAGAATATTCTACTTACACAGAGCTAACTATACATTTAAGTTTCTACACTTACATCAAAATAATAAGTACTTTGAAAATCACTGCATAGAAAATTTTAAAATACTTTAGGACTATTAATAATGGCTACGTAATAACAAACTATGGAAAAACTTCTGCTCTTTTTTATTTGCTACAGTATGTATTTTATTATTGGGGTGACACTGGTTAATAAGATTACGTTTCAAGTATACAATTCTATAATACATCATCTGTGTACCATACTGTGTGTTCAGCACCCAAAGTCAAGTCTTCTTCAAGAACTTATTTTCAATGAAATGGAAGTATGTCTATTATGTAAATTCATTTATTATATAAAACTAAAACTTTCCTAAAATTCTTTGGAGACAAATCAATGATGGTCTTGAAATTTGTTTTAAAAACCATGAGATGATGGATAAAAGCTCCTTACCTTTTTAAAATGAGTGGCCGACTGTACTTTTCTCACAGGCTGCATAAGTGCATCCCGCACAATGACACTTATGTCTGCCCCTGAGTAACCCTCAGTTTTCTTGCCGAGCTCTCTGAAGTCTGTTTCTGTTAGAGTGTTCTGAGTAGTACCCAAGTGCAGTTTAAACATTGCAGCTCGCGCATGGGCCTCAGGCAGAGGAATATAAATTCGTTTCTCAAATCTTAAAATGAAAAACAAATTACATCAAGAATATTACTATATATATTTCATTTCAACTGAAAATTAGGATACTTTCAAGAAGAAACAAGATATTTAGATATTTTCATTTGTACAAAGTTAAGCGGAGTAAGTTAAATGGGCCCATATGTGTCAGAATTAAACATATATTTAGGTAAAGTGAAGGCAAAATGTCTAGGACATAAAACAATAAAACCAGAATAGCCAGCGAACTGGTTGAAATGGGTGAGTCTCACATGACTTTTGGGTTTTCTTGCCATAGTGTTTACATGTCTGGAATTCATGACATGACATGTCCTCCAGAACATGTCTTCTTGGTACCACATGGTAATCTAGCATACTGGTAAACCATCAAGTGGATGGGATAAAAGTGGCAAAAACTGAAGTGGTAATTTTTACGTGTAAAATTAAATGAATGAAATAGGGAACTGTGAAGCAGTAAAAATCATTAAAGTGGATGCCTTTCCTGTAGCTCAAGTTTCATCTGCAATTTAAAAATTACAGACATATTTTTTAACTGAAAATATATCTCGGTTATCATTCTTCAACTTGTGTGAGTGTCAATTTGCTAAAGTTTTAAACGAGGGTTCTTCATTGAAATATCAAACTACATTTGTAAATTTCTGAAGCATCAGTGCCTACTAAGCTTAATCAAAACTAAGAGTTAGGGGTTATCTTTCGCAACATGAAAGATTCCAGTGTGTGAAAATCTCGTATCTTCAAGATAGCAAACAAACAAACAGATGCCCGCCTCTCTTCTCCCAAGGCAGGGGACTGCAGGGTTAGGGCACATTAAAAAGATTCTGAAAACTCATCAGAATGACTCCTCACTGGAAAGAATGGGACTCTTACTCACTTGGCACATCTGTAGTTAGAAAAAAGATATTTACTGCGGCATCATACCTTCGCCTAATGGCAGAATCCAGAACCCAGGGTATATTTGTAGCTCCCAGAACCAAAATCCCCTCATTGTCCACACCAACACCTGCATCAAATAGGCAGTATTTTAAATAATTTGTTATTTTAGTGTTCATTAAACCTCATCTCTATGCCCTATCAACAACGTGATGCTTTAACACCAAAGTACCTCATCTTGAGAGTCTCTCTCTGAAAAAAACTGTACTGAATCAAATACCAAATTACAAAAAGATGATGCAAATATCCCAAGAGTCAAATCTCCTGGACTGTAGACAAATACCGTTAATATTCTTTTCAAAATAGTTGAGAGATTTCATTTCAAGTCTACGCATTCCTTTTACTGATACTGTTCCTTGTACAAGTGAATACGTGGGTCTCTTTAACGTTTATACCAGCAAGTCCTATAAGACGATTACAACTGGGTGAAAGACAATCAGAATGAAACACAGCATATGGAACAGTCTGTTAGAATGAACAAATTCTGCTTAAATTTTTTACATTACTGTTATAATAATGGTTATACAACAGGAGCTATTTTGGAAATCAGGGACACCACCTTGCATTTGAACTAGGAACTCCGTCTTAATTCTACGTGCGGCCTCGCTTTCATTTTCACTCCTTGAGCCACAGAGAGAATCGATCTCATCGATGAAGATAATGGAAGGTTTATTCTCTCTGGCAAGTTGGAATAAGTTCTTAACTAGCCTAAAAACAAATAGAAGCTTTCAGTTTCTAAAATATAGTACACAACATATGGCTTAATGAAAAGATGAAAACAAAACAATACAGTATTACAGTAAACAACAGTATTACAGGAACTCTATAGATTCATTCATAGGCCTAATCATGTTTTGGTCCACAAAATAAGAATGCTACAACTAGATAATTCACTTTACAATTTACTAAACTATACATACGTGTTATCTTTCCCCTACGAAATAAATTCCAAACTAGGGACTGACATGACAGAGAAATGAAACCTGTATTATGTCACTTCTCTGAATGTCTAATAATGATGAAAGAAATCCATTGCTTTATAGAGTGATATAGTGACTACCAGGCAAAGAAAAACTAAAAAAAGAAAAAAAGAAAAAAAAAAAGAAATCAATTTATTACTTACTTTTCACTTTCACCTAGCCATTTGGAAACAAGGTGGGAGGAATGTATTGAAAAGAATGTTGAGTTGTTTGCTTCTGTGGCTACAGCTTTGGCTAAATAGGACTTTCCTGTTCCAGGTGGCCCAAATAAGAGGATTCCCCGCCAAGGTGTTCTCTTGCCTGAAATTTGCATAAGAAAAATAACATGAGGATTTCAAGACTGTTGATTTAAGTTACCAGAGACATCCTCCATCCTGAAGAATACTGTGAAGAGGTTTTCACTCTAAAGCTATCAGTAGAAGAAAATATTTTTTAACAAATCAAAGTCAAGTCTTAAATGTATTTTATTTGCTCTTTTTAGAGACCACTGTCAAAAGTGAGCTTACATGAATATAATCCTTCAAACAGGAAATTAATTTGCTTGCTCGCTCATTCATTCAACCACTTTGTACAGAAACCGCATGTGCAGACAGAGAACTAAGAATACAAAAGGATCTCTGCCCCCCACCGGCTCACAGACTAGTGCAGAAAAAGAGTTCAATTAAAAGGCACTTTTGACCATACACTGCGTATGCTGCTTGATATCAGAATATTGTCAGAGAGCCTCTGCCAAGTAGCTCAATTGGTTAGAGCATTGTCCCTACACACCAAGGTCTCAGGTTCAATCCCTAGTCAGGGCGCATACAAGAATCAACCAATGAATGCATAAACAAGTGGACAACAAATCAATGTTTTGCTAGCTCACTCTCCTCTCCCTTCCTCTCTAAAATCAATAAATAAAAATTAAAAAAAAATGTATTGTGAGAGAAACTATATCCACAAGGTAAAAGCAGCTGGAAAAACTTTCTTTTAAACATTTGTGACCTTTGGGGAAATGAAACTAACAGTTTGGTTGACCCTTGTGAAGTTCTGCTCAATTCTTGATTCTACAAGGAAGTGTGGGTTATTATTACAGGTAGCATACTCTCATTCAAATAGTTGGGTAATGACAAGGGGATTCTACCTTAAATAGTTTTCCCAAAATACAACATGTGAACAACTCCTTGTATCTCAATGTCCCTAAAGAGAAATTATGATACTGCCTAAAAGAAATCAGGCTGTTACACCTGTCAATAAAGTATCAACTATACATTGAAAAACGGCTAAATGCAGATTGTGGATGGGTACATAGTGTCTGCATAAGAATGATATGCAGATAACTAATGGCAAAACTAAATATTGTTATATTTATTGTTTCAAAGGCCTCAACTTTACTTGAATTCTATTTTCCTATTTTAAATATCTGCAATTATAAGTCAGTGTTCCTTAACTGTGGTACATATACCATTTGTGGCATTTAAAGTGCTTTCAGGTGATATAGAAATACTTATTTAAATGATTACCTTTTTAATGTGTATTAGACAAACACTAATTATTCCATTTGTAGTAAACACAAAACAGTCTTCTAAAATAACAGTACTAAGTAAAATAAGTGAGATGATTTAAAAGTTCAAATACAGTCCGGCCAGTGTGGCTCAGCGGTGAGTATCGACCTAGGATCCAGGAGATCAAGGTTCGATTCCCGGTCAGGGCACATGCCCGGGTTGTGGGCTTGATCCCCAGTGTGGGGCGTGCAGGAGGCGGCAGAACAATTACTCTCATCATTGATGTTTCTAACTCTCTCTCCTCCTCTCCCTTCCTTTCTCTGAAGTCAATAAAGACATATTTAAAAAAAAAAAAAAGTTCAAATATGGGCAAAACACTCCATGGTGTTGGAGTTGAGAGTGATTACTGCTGGGCAGGAAAGAGGCAGGGGGGCTTCCAGGTTACAGGTAGCACTTTTTGATTTGGTTGATGATTACACAGGCATAGTTACTCTGTGATAATTTATGAAGCTGAACACTTACGGGCTTCTGCATGTCTCTGTATATTTATGCTGTGCTTTAATAAAGCTTTGCTCTAAAAGTTAATGGTTTAAAGAAAAATATTTTTTCTATAATGGCACACACATACGAAAAAAATTCATGACGGTGATAAATAAATGACTCATGCTTGAGAAACACTGGTGTAAGTAATATAAAATGAAGTCAACTCAACTGTACCTGTACCTTTGTAGGATTATGATGTCAACTTTTATACTGCTAATTTCATATTCCTGAAGTTAGGTTGTAAGTCGTATCTTGAAGCCAGGCTGCCGACGGGGCCCACATGATCCTTGCTCTCTATCACTGCACTACACATCACCACTGTCCAGGCCTGTTCCGTCTGAGGTCAACACCACAGATTTGCTCTCTATATAAACCAGCTTGTTTTTAGAAGGAAAAAAACCACACCTCTGTGTCAGTGTAAGACTGGGTATAGCCAAGTCACAAACACAGGTTAGCAGTGACAAAAAGGACAAGAAGGCATGGTGTGGCACAGACAAACCACCGAGTGCTGGAGCTGTAACTTCAACCACCCAGTTGGTGGGTTAACAGCACTCTCCTCACAGTGCCACGAGCCGTCCCTCCGCCACTAGGGGATAAGCACTGCATCTGAAAATAGTAAATAATCCCTACTCCTCTTTTTAAGAAATGGAAACACTCAAATAAAAACTAGTACATGTCTACTACAAAAAAAAAAAAAAATTCAGATGTAAGTCAAAAGAAAAAGTAAAAACCACCCATCTTATTTATGTCTATCCGTCTACACCTACTTCTCAGCATGCGTTTATTTAACAAACACGGAATCATACTATACAAATTTTATTACTTGCTTTTTGATCTTTATAATATGAGTGGATGTTCTCCCATGTTAACTATAATGTAGATCTAAACTTCTGGATGTAGATGTTCACTCTACTTGATGAGTGCACACCATTCCACTGCATACTGATGATTGCCCTACTGGCTGACATTCAGATTGTTTTGCAGTATGTGTATTAAAGATGCGTATGTATATGGAATAAGTATCTATATATAAAGGCATATCACTGCCTTAGAATTTATTTAAGGTAATAACTCATGATGTGGTGACAAGAATTCAATGCGGTTTTGAAAAATCATCAAAAAAAAATTACTGAAAAGTCATCTCACCCGTAAAAAGATGAGGAAATTTAATAGGCAATATCACAGCCTCTTTAAGTGCTTCTTTGGCTCCTTCAAGACCAGCAACATCGCTCCATTTCACATCAGGTCGCTCCATAATAATGGCACCTACAAAACATTATGTCATCTTTAAATTGAGGACTATTTCATCATATTTAGAAGACAACATGAAATAATAATGTTAAAGAAATATATTATAAAATAGACCGGAAAAATTTTATGTATTAACAACTTTCTTGAAAGAGTGTGATGAGGAAGTAGCTGCGAGCAGGAAGTAGTAGGAGTCAGGAACCGGGGTGGATGGCTAGATAACCCAGGGTAAAGTCACTTTCCTATGACTGCTTCCCCACTGTGAAATGAAAATACTATCATCTACCCAAACTACTAAGACAGGTTAGTGTAAGGGTCAGATGACATAATAAATATTAGAGTGCTTGGAAAAGCACCAAATGTTACATTACAGCACTAATTCTGGAGTTTCAAAAGAGCTTGTTCAATGGGGGTTGAAATCTACTATTTCTCCTCTTAACCAAACAACAAAAAATGGTGATCTAATACTCTCCTTTAACCACAGAAAGAAAATACACCTAACAAATTTAACTTAAGATAGAGAGATAGATGGACAGACAGACAGAAGGGGTGGGAGGGGAGGGAGATAAAGGAGGGTGAGGAGGGGATGATGAAAGAGAGAGAGAGAAAAATGTCCTCTTGTAGATTTGCAATACTTTCCTGAGATTTGCAAAATTTTCTGTTTGGCTTCTAAACAGACCTATTTACAATCTTTCTATATTAACAAAGTTATTTAAAAACTTAGTTTCTGAACACCATATATTCAAAAGCCACAGCAATTGTCACAGTAAGAGTCCACAAAAGATTTCTTTCAATATAGCTATTGGCAAAACTTTTTAGTTTATCTTTCATCAAAGCTTTTCCAATTTTCCAGCATATAGAAGTTGCTCATCTACAAACCACTAAGCAGCTTGTTCCTAAGTGACGTGTAATGTATAATAAAACACTACCACTTACACAATCTACTGCTTACCTATGAAATTAAGTTTCTGGGTATTTCTTCTCATTAGGAAATATCATCCATTATTCTAAGAGTAGCTATCCTCTGAAACTTCCCTGAATTATGAAAATCTTTAGCTATAGATGAAAATGAAATAAAACCATAAACACATCTTGCATTCTAAAGTTCAGACTGAGTATGAATTAAGAAAGCCAATTCACTTTTTCATCTCTATGTTCCACTCAGATTAGTAACCCTACATGGGGAAATAATGTACCTCATCAGATAGGATTTGAGTTAAACAAAAGTAAATTTACTTTATATATAAGCACCATTTGGTCAACTAAAGGTTTTTGCTATGAATTTTCTAAATACACATTAATCTTCACATTTAACTAACACTGTTTCTCTTAAAGTTCAAAGGTAATTTTGGAATGTTTAGTGATTAAAAAATAATAAAAGTAATATTAATCATTAGACATTGCTTAATGGTTTGTAAAATTAAACGGAGGGATGGATTACTGGAAAATAAAGGCCAAATAATCTGACTGTTTCCTGTTATATAATTTTACCCTGTCTTTGACTATCCAACTTATTATGCTAATTTGTTGTTTAACCTCAAAAAGTCAATGAATATCAAATTTAGCTAACAAAAACTCAAACCATAAACTCTTAATTTTATCAATCAAATATTACACTTAATGTCATAACCTAAAACAGAAGATTTAAAAGTTTCAGGAAAAAAGAGGAAAAAATATATATTACACAATATTTTATTATACATTATATTCTACAACTCGATCAGCAAACCATTCAATTAAAAGATGAGAAAAAAGGGCTCTCAGATATGAAAGACTAGGACTCACATTTCAGATTCTGCTTCATCCTGAAATTCTAAATAAATATCTTCATTTCAATGTCTTACACATTTCTATTTTTTATATATCTCTGGTCCTTATTTTGACTGATTTTTAAAGAAAAATTCCCAATTAAAAACTGAGTTGTATCTTTTCAAAATTAAAGATACAATCTGATTTTTACCTGGAGTGGGTGGGCAGGGCTGGAGAGAGGGGAAACAAACCAAACCCAAAAAAGACAGAGCGAAAAAAGCTTTCTGCCTTACAACTGAAATAAGGCCACTCGGGACGATCACTGGGTTGCACCCAATCAAACTTACTAAGCACGAAGTGTGTGTCCCCACTGCCACAGGCAGTGGTGCGGCAGTGGGAACTCAGTTCTGTCCTTGGACTACATCTACCATTGAAGTTCTAAGTATATAAAAATATCCTCATTAACTGTAGTCTTTTTAAGACACTATCCTTATACATCCCAGTGGAGTTGGTGAGACAGTTTTAATATTACCAAAATGAAGAGACTATCCACCATTCACGAACCCACCTGAGCCTATATAATGGAAATCTGTCCCAGTTATGCATTCTATTTGGCAAGATTCAAATGAACAAATACATAAATTTCAACTTGAAAAATCATCAGCTAACATTAAAAAAACAATCCAATCTCAGTAACTAAAGAAACCAGCAATTAAATAGATTACTACATATAGAGCTACCAATTATTGAGTTCCTAGAATTTGTTAAATATAATACCAGGCAGTTTTTTCATTGTCAGAAATCTTTTACTAGCCCTGAAAGGAAAATATTAATTTCAATTTTAGAACTGGGGTCTCAGATTGAGGTGTTAGGGAACTTGCCCAAGATTTAAGCCGCTGACCTGGGGTAGAATCCAAAATCTATGCTCCCTCCATCCTGCTACTAGACTACAGCTGAGGAGAACGAAAGAGTTTTCTTCTGCATGGAAGGCAAAAACGAACGTGGAAAGAGATAAATATAAGGCAGTGCTGAAATCAAATAAAAAAGCAGATGAGGGAGAATAGGTAGGAAACAGGAAATAAATCATCAATAAATAAGCAACAGCAATAAGCCAAGTGTAAGTCCTAATTCATTCTGCTCCTCTGACAGAAAATTTGAATACCCTCCGATTTGGTAGTGTGCTATTAGTCTAAATGCTACCTTCTCTACTAGGGGGAAAGCAAGACAAAATGAAAGAGAGTAAGTCAACTGACAGGCTTTTTAAGGCAGCTAAAAAAACCAAACAATATTTTTACTGCATGGAAAAAAACCCATTAGAGACCCTAAAGAGAAAATCCTATGAAGACCAGCAAGTGACTACTGGGAACCAAAGCCAGTTCTTGAACCTCATTTAAATACGGGGTGGGAGGAAGCAATTAAAATAAGACAATACACTATGAGTTTTTTTAAATAAGAGAGTAAATTTAAAAATGAAATCTAAAGCAACCTTGAAGTTGATTCTGTAGTTTCTTTGCTTCAGGATCATCAGATTCTCCTTCCCCATCACTGTCATTCCTAATAAAAAGAATTTAACATATTCAAATGATGACTCATTGTATCAAAATAAGGCAAGAATGAAGAAAAGATTAACTTGAAATATTTGTAAGTGGCAAAATAAGAAATTCACATGAGAAGTTATGCTTATTTTATTACTTTTAAGAATATATTAAATAAACTATTAAGCAGGCATATTATCCATCAATATGGAATCATGAACAGAGAAGGGGCAAAAAGACCAGAATGAAGTCAGGAACTAGCTCCAAATTCCCATGACACACTTACGTATGTGGCTAATTCATAAATGCATGCCCCACACCTTATCCCACAAAAGATTTATGATGAATTACAGAAGAGCTGTAAACAACAATAAAAACACCAGAACCAGGCAAACTACATATTAGAGCAGGAAGCCATAACCAGGAGGAAAAGACCCAATATTCATTATTTAAAGTACAAAGGTCTATAACCCTTAGTCTGGGGGTTCCAAGGGATAAATGAAGCTTCTCATGAAAATAAACTGAGCCTAAGGAACAAGCACACCAACCAGACATTTCATAACTAAGAATTTATTGAGGAAATAATTTAAAATGAGTTCAAGGATTTAACTACAAGGATAATCATGCCACACTGCTCACAACAGGGAAAACAGACTAATGCATGTTCAATTACAGAAATCAGCAATGCACTGCAATTTTGACAAAACGAATATTGTACAAAGTTTGTTGGAAAGATGTTCATGCTACATGTTGAGTGAAAAGGTGATAAAGCAAAAAATAGAGCAATATATCATTTTTAAAATATAAAATATAAAAACAGATAAAAAGCCTAACAGTGTTATCCCAAAATGGGATTGCTTTGGTTATCATAGGACTGCAAAGTGATTCACTTGACACTCAAGCCAACCTCCCTCTACCATGCTTTCTTGTACAATAAATGCCACACTGATAAACACTGCCTTTCCTAGGCTCCCTTGCAGCTAGGGCTTCACATGAAACTAGTTTCTCCAAGAAGGAAGCAAGCAACAGAAGTGGGGTTTGCATGCAAGGTTTACACCTGCAGGCAAAAGCACTGGTTCTGAGGAAGCTGTGGTGGAGGACTGAAACCCCACTCCCTGGCATCAGAAGTGCATGGCAGGAGAACTGACAGCAATGGGTCCCTGCCAAAACAACCCTGGTAGAGCTGGGCATTTCTCCTAGTGATATGGAATCCACGCTTCATTCCCAGGCCCCCAAATTCTGTAAGGTAATCCACTATCATAAGTCCCTTTTGCTTAAATTAGTCAAAGTGGGTCCTGCTGTTCAATTCAGAGCTGGCATCCCCTTGCTAGGTAACCATCTGAGAGCATTACAGTGTCTTCAAGCAAGACCTGAAATGCCTCAACTCTCAGGGAGGAAAGGGCTTGTTTGCTGGGAAGGGAGTTTCAGGGAGAGTCAGGGGTCCAGGTTCTCGGAGTCAACCGAATTCTTCTCAACAGATTCACTTCAAGTTTGGAGTCCCAGTCTTCCAATAAATGTCCCACTTTTATATAAGAAAGCTGGTGAAGTTGAATCTCTGCTGGAATTCAATAACCCACAAGATCAGTTGGGGTCTGTGTCAATGCTATAGCTGTACAATGTAAAATATCCTTCAGTATCACAGAAAATCCCTGGTTCCCTGACCATGAACAAAGAATATAAAACCTTGAGCTTAAAATTTTCTTCAAACTCTCTCGTGTAGTTTGAAGCTGCTGGTTAACTCTACTTTTATATTGCTCGTGTCCTTCAAACTGGCCTATGGTAGTAGCCACCAAGCCCTCACAGCACTGTCTTCCAGGTGCTCCATTCCTGGTGACCACAAGGGACTGGCTAAGTAGCTTGTGCCACTGCACTCCATGAAGTATGAATATCACATCCTCTAAAGCTAATCAGAACTTCCTGTCTTCAAACCCAATAAGCCAGATAACCCCATCCCAGAATCTCATTTTCTTAGAGCGTGTTGTCATCTGGAACCACTTCTGGCACCAATTAACAAAATGGTCAGAGGATCTGTGTAGAATATGTTCCCACTGCTCAGCACAGAGTTTGGCACCAACATACTGAATAATAAACTTTACATCTGTAAATGATACATCTCCCATCTGGGAAGACATTCCAAAATTGGGTTTAGATGTTTATAAATTATGCTGTGTTGATTTCTTTACAATGACAAAATAAAAGCAAATCTAAAGCAAATTAACATAAAAAAACTTTACATAAGTATCCAAAAAATTATTCACATTATTGGAGTCATTTTTTATTTTGTCCATGTGGTTAGTACAGACTAAGAGTCAATACTACTAATCAAAGATTTAATTCACAGATCATTCCTATAACTTTAAACTTCAATGTTACATAATGGCCAGACAGTAAAGAACTGAGTACCATTCCTACAAATGTTTTCTCCTACTACTACCAAGTGGTCATGGAGGGTCATTTGAGATATATCATACCCTAAGCTTGGTAAAGTAGGAATTGGGAAACTTCTTCCGTAAAGGGCCAGACAGTGAATATTTTAGGTTTTGTGGGTCAATCTCTGTTGCAACTATTCAATCTTATTGGTACAGCACAAAAGCAGCCATAGACAATGGATAAATGAATAGGTGAGGCTCTGTTTCAATAAAACTTTATTTACAAAAACAGGCTGCAGGTTTGTCCCATGAGTCATTGTTGGCCAACACCTAGTTTAAATGAAAGAAATTTATTTCACAAATAAAATTTAAGTTTATCTTTTAATTAGATACAATAAAATCTAATGCTCTAAAATACATACCCCTTCTCATCGGCTGGACTCGGCTGCCCCTCTTTCACTGGCTTCTGTGGTTTTTTCTCTTTCTTTTTCAGGTATTCCTTTAGCTTTTCTGCTCTATCAAGATATTCTGTACACTTTGCCCTGATACTCTGCTTGGCCTTATCACCCTGTGCTTCATCTATTAAAGGAAAATGAGAGAGATTTCTCCATTAGTGTTCTATCCAGACATGTTTAAGCTCTTAAATATACTTTTAAACAAGCAAAATCTATTTTAGGGGAGGAAGATCATCTCTAGTTCACTGTAACCAAGGATTATCAATCTTCTCAGCAAGGTCAGAGACCAAAAGTGGGTTTGAGTCAGAAAGACATCTGAGCAAGGCACTAAGATAATTTAAGTTAATGTTGGATAGCAAGAAATCATTTAACATTCTGCGGGTTTCATACACTTCCCTTACATTTTGTGCAGATAGCTGAAAGCTGCTTATCTCACATAAAACCAATTATAAGACAAAAAGATATAAAGCAAGGTTAACCATTTCCATTAATGTCTACATAAGCTTTATGTCAAGAGTATGAACAGTGACAGAAATCCCACATATTATGTGTACCATCAATGTAGTAATTATACCACACACAGGCAGGCCTCTGTGAAAGTTACCTGGAAAGTAGACTTCAACAATATACGCAATTTATACACAGTGCACGGGATTAGCCCCACATCTTATATGTTACAACTCATTCTTAGTTTCACTTTAATTTGACAGAAAAATCTCAGGTTAAATGGGAAGCTCAAAGGAAAATGCTAAATTATCCAACTGCTAAAATTTTTATTTAAAAGTAACTTGAAGTTTACCAGGAAGATAGATTTTCTAACATCTTATTTCACCTATGTTCAGCATTAGGTTTAAGATACATGAAAGCAAGAGTTTTTACCCATTTTTCCCTCACTGCTGGGTCCCAGTGCCTAGAACAGTGCCTGGCACATGGTGAGCATCCAATATATGGAAAATACATGGAAAAAAAATATGTTTCCCAACCTGTTTTTAAAACAGAGTATTTTCAAAGAGATGCTTGGACAATGAGAAGGTTCAGATTACATAATCTTGGTACATTAAAATAAAAACTTAGTTCCATTGACTGTATGACATTTTCATATGTTCGAGTATGCAAAGTATAACTATAATAGCTGTGCATTTTTGTTAGCTGAGTACCTAAAACCTGTCTAGATGCATACTAGAAAGCTAGTGGGATATATATATATATATATATATATTTGCAAATTGATGGTTTAAAATTTTCCGACATTATATTACAATTTTCATAAATAGAATACATTTTTCTTTTAGTGTTCTTAAATAAAAAAGCAAACTGTGGCCTTACATTTAACTACGTGGAGAAAATACTGCACAGCATGTTGGTAGAGTTGAAAGGCTTCCTCATAGTTTCCAGCTTTGTCTTCTTGGGCTGCTTTGCTAGCAAGATCTATCGCTTTCTGTTTGAAAAGAAGCAAAATCATACCAACAAAATCATACCATCGAAATCAAAGCATAAGTTTGAAGTAAATAATCATACGGAAAGTTTAAAAAAACAACCTTGAAACAATCTATCTTCTTTTCTAAATCACAATAACATTTTATTATAAATTGTAGCTATTTATAAAATGCAAATTAAATGTTATATGGGTAAATGCTATCTGTATACAAGTTTATCTAGTACCAATCACTCAGATTCTCATATAATTTGCACTCAACAAAAGTCAAGCTTAGAGCTAGTACAGAATAATAAAGAAAGAATCTAAAATTCAAATTAAAAAGCACTTAGGGAAATTCTCAAAATCAAATACTTCTTTATCTAAAACATGTAACAGTCAAATGTAAACGGGTAAAACCCCTTCAGAAGCAACAGGCCAATGAAGCATCAAGAGTCAAAAAAGTACCCGTCTTTAACCTAGTAATTCACTAAAAGGGTAACTGAGCAAAGACAGTAACCAGAAAGGTCTTTTAAAAAAAAACAACAAACCTCGGTAAATAAAATTTTAAACAGCACAAAGATGCCACACGACGGAAAATTATAGAATCATTCAATAATATTAAGGAACATTTGTAATAATGTGGAATATATTTATAATGAAAGATTTTGGAAAGATACAATTTTTACATGTAGCACAAAATGCAACTATTTGAAACAGAAAAAAAAAACAGAACAGGAAAAAAGATGGGAAGGAAATTTAACAGAACTTATCTTTGATAAGACTTAATTTTTTCATTTTCTACATCCACATCTTCTAAAAATATCCATAACGTACACAGACTTTTGAAGTATTTAGGAAAAAACTCCCAGAACTAAATCTATACAAATACATCCAACTGAGTGATAACAATGCAAAAGCAAGCAAATGGCAGAACAACAGGCTTTTTAAGAAATAGTGTGAGAGCAACTGAATATCCATAAGTGCACACTAGAGAGAGACAGACAGACAGACACGCAAAGAGAGGTGGGGGAAGAGAGCTAGAACTTCAACCTAAACCCCATACTTCATACAAAAATTAACTCAAAATGTATTATGGACTTAAGTAAAAAATGTAAAATTATAAAATCTTAGTTCTTAGACTTGACACCAAAAGCACAATATATAAAAGAATAAATTTTTTCATAAACTTAAAAACCTTTGGTCTATAAAGGATCCTGTTAAAAGAATCACAAAACAAGCTACAGACTGGGAGAAATATTTGCAAACCACATACCCAACAAAAGACCAGTATTCATAATATATAAAAAACTCTAAAAACTCAACAGTTAAAAAAAGAATTCAAGTAGAAAATGGGCTAAAGATATGAATAGACAATTCACCAAAGAGGATGTGTAGATATAAGCACATAAAAAGGTGTTCAACATCATTAACCATTAGGGAAATGCAAATTAAAACCACAATGAGATGTCACTACACATCTATCAGAATAGCTAAAATAAAAAATAGTGATAATACCAAATGGTGGTGAAGAAACAGAGAGACTGGTGGTGAGGACAGGTGGTGAGGATAGAGAGAAATTGACCACTCATATACTACAGGTAGGATATAAAACAATACAGCCACTCTAGGAAACTGGTTGGTTTGTTTTCTACAAATCTGAACATGCAACTCCCATATGAACCAGCAATGCATTTATGGGCAGTAATTTCAGAGAAATGAAGACTTAAGTTCACACAGAAACTTGTACATGGATGTACCAGATCCATCAATGATTGCATGGTAAACAAACTGTGGTACATCCATACCATGGAGTATTACTCAGTACCGAAAAGGAATGAATACTGATACAGGGATGGTGGGGTGGGGGTCCCGGTTTGATTCCGTCAGGGCAAGTGCCCAGGTTGCAGGTTGGATCCCCAGTAGGTAGCTGATCAACGATTCTCTCATCATTGATGTTTCTATCTCTCTCCCTCTCTTTGGAATCAATAAAGACATACAGTGGTACCTCGGTTTTCAAATGTAATCCGTTCCAGAAGACCGTTCGAGTTCTGAAACGTTTGAAAACCGAGGGATCAACAGCAGACAGCTAGGCTTCAGGATCTTGCCCTCAGTGGACCCTGTGTGGCATGTTCGACTTCTGCGGTGTGTTGAAAACTGAAGCATTTACTTCCAGGTTTACAGCCTTTGTAAACCGAAATGTTCGTCAACGGAGACATTCGAAAACTGAGGTACCACTGTACCTTAAATAAGTAAATAAATAGGGCTCTCTAATGATGATAGATCCAAAGGCTGGTTCCATCTTCATCGTGATCTCCTGACAATATTCTGCGATATCACTCCCTTCCTGAACACGGCCCTCTGCTGAACTCTGGAGCACCACCCTCCCAGTCTTTCTCCACCACTCTGAAGCTCCTGCTCAGTCTCCTTTGACTCTTCTTCTGGCACACGATGCTGAAATATTAGGGTTCCTCAGAGTTTGGGCAGGGGGCTCATTTCTTTCTTTCTTTTTTTTTTTAAATGTCTTCATTAATTTCAGAGAGAGGAAAGGAGAGGGAGAGAGAAACATCACTGAGAGTCATTGATCGGATGTCTCCTGCACACCCACCCCCTGCTGGGGATCGAGCCCACAACCCGGGCATGTGCCCTGACTGGGAATCAAACCCTGATCTCCTGGATCCTAGGTCGATGCTCAACCACTGAGCCATGCCCAGCCGGGTTCCTTTCTTTCTGATTACTCCCTATGTAATCTGTTTTTGATCATTTAAGCTGATTATCTGTATGCTGGTGACTTCCAAATTTATTCCGTTTTAAAACACATCTCATTTCTGTTTAAAATCATTCCAGTGGCTTGTTCCTGTACATGTGGGTTTTGTTTTGTTTCTGCCTGTCCTCTCCCACTAGAATATAAACTCCATGAGGATGGGAGTTATGACTACTGATTTCACTCTCATAATCCGGAGTCTAGCACAGAGGCTGGCATGAGACTGAATGGATACATTACCCCAGGATGAGTCAGGATCCAGTCATCAATACTGAAGTACAGGCTTGGGAACATCTGGGAGTACTATTTTCAGATTAAGAGACCATGATGCGTCCACACTAGAAAACCCTGGGAAACTGGGCAAATTCTAGAATCACCTATCTCAAGAGGAAAGATGTCCCAGCCCCTGTGTGTCAAGGCTAATTCTTTTCCCTGTGCTCTTGAGCCCATCCCCACCTTCCTTCTATGACATTTATTCCGCCCAATTATATGCCACTCTACTGTTCACCCCAACTGAACCGTTCCCTTTTGCCTTCTTCAGCATAAAAATGTATGTAAATCCGACCTTAGACTCATGTCTGCAAACACAGACTAAAACACACCAGCTCTCCCCAGTTCTAGGTTTCTCTCTAGCTACCATCTTCTATCTTTTCATCTCCACAGCAAAGTCCAAAGAGAACCTGAGATTCATGTCCATTTCTCAATTCCTCCCACATCAATGCTTCCTGCTCCCCGACTGCCAAATCTCTCAACTGCCAATCTCACTCTTAGCAGCATTTAACCCTAGTAACAGACCTCTGGACATGGCTTCCTCCTCTGACTCTCACAGCACCATTTGCTCTTGGTTTTACTTGACTATATAATGATTCTTTTTCAGGATCCCCTTCCTCTCTCCTTAGAAGCTGATATTCCCCAGGATTTCTATCCTGGTCCTTGCTTTTCCTCATTCTATAAACTCTGTAAGATGCCCACAACCTCTGCTACCATCTGCATGCTAGTAACTCCCAAATCCTTATTTCCAGACCAGCTCTCTCTCTCTAGTTCTGCAAGTACACATCCAACTGCTCAATGGACATTTCCTCCTGACTGTCCCCACATGCATTTCAAACTTAAGGAGTTCAGGCTCCAAATATGCCCCTTGTCTTGTAATCCCAGAACCAATTCCTACCCACGCAGACATCCAATCCAGGAATCTAGAAGAAAACTCAGACTCCTCCCTCCCTTTCTGAATGCAGATCCAAGCCTGACTATTCTTTGTCCTCAACTGTATCTGACCAATCCTTTCTTCTTTATTTTAACTGGGACTACACTACTTTGGGTGGCACCATCTCCCATCACACAAAACCCTGCCTTACTGGCTCCCTGCTTGAGGCTTGCTACCAGTCAAGTTGTCCCCTGTACATGACAGTTTCATTCTAAAACAAAAACCTGAGCATATTACTGTCTATGACTCCCCATCTAGACGTGGATGAGGATCAGTCATCTATGTGACATGTCCTACCTAGGCCCATCCTCCCACCTTGCACTCAGTTCAGTCATACCAAGCTACGGGGACAACTGAGACAACCCAGACTTCATGCCTTGGTGTATTCTTCACCTGGAATACCTGATCCCACTGTCTGCCTGTCTCCCACATGACCCAGCACAGTCATGGTCCTCCTGCTGCAAAGCCCTTCCAAGCACCCTCAGGTGACCTAGTCCTGTGCTTCCTCCAGATTTCCACTGCCTCCTAGAGAGATTTCCAATGACCACACAATATCCTATTAATCACTTTACATGTTTGTTTTCATATCAAAATATAAGCCCTTTAAAGTCAAGAATGATATAGTTATTTTATGATACCCCAAGACTTAGAAAAATGTATGGCATAGTTTACACTCCAAAAAATATTCAGGCCTGAGTAAACTTTGAGCTCTTTGCATACTGCATTACTTCCAATTTCTCCCAAACCTCTCCAAAGTTTATTACACTTATAGACTAAGGATGTGTTGTTTTTCTCTGCCTGGAATGAGTTCCACTTTCTTGTCTAAGGATGCATAATCCTGTAGTGAAAAAAGCACAAACTTGTAAGCAGACAGGCCTGGATTCAAAACTATCTTCAACATTAATTAACCATATGTCTTTGGGAAAATTTAACCTTACTATGCTTTTGCTTCTTACACTGTAAAACTGGAATAATATTCCCCTTGAAGAGCTGTTTTGAGGATTAATGAGATCAAATCAACCACCAAGTAGACAATTAGTGTCAATACCTTTCACTTGATCTAAGCTCACAATGATCTCCTCTGTGGACTGTTACTCATTTGCCCTGGAAGTGTAAGACACCCTTCTTTTCGGCCCTGCCACACTAACCTCCAATTCTATTATAGCATTCAATGTATTACTTTATAATTTTTTATTTTTAATTATCTGCATTCCTCCATTAGATTATAAGTACATGGCTATGGAGATATTTGCCTTGTTTGGTGGGAAAGTTATTTGAGTATTTTTTATTTACATGTTCTAGGTCAGAAGGTTGAAAAGTATGAATGAGAAAGCGCATCTGTAAAACCACCACTAATAAAATAACTCAATATCTCTCCCTGTTTAACAGTAAGCCTATAATGTGGGTCAATCTGTAGCTGACTCAAGAACATCCAACAATCCAACTCAAATATAATGCAAACTGGTTATAAAGTGAAACCTCAAATCTTCCAAAAGGACATCAATAAATTGATTAAAGGCATGTAGAATGCCGGAGTCACATGCAAGGTCTGACAAATAAAGGCCTGGTGGAATGAAACTGCTTAACTGGGAAACCACAAAGGATGATGGCGAGATGAGCATTTCAAAAGAAATGGCCTTTGATACTCACAGGAACAATACTTTCATCAAATGACCAATATTTTTTCCACAAGTACATTTACTAGGAGATCCTCTGTGAATGGGACTACAAAAGACTATCCTTAAGTGAAGATTGTTGTATTTCAGTTTAATACAATCTTGTTGGAAAAGATACACAAATCTACATGTGACTTATTCTTTATTCTAAGAAGTCGTTGTAATTTTAATATCTTGTGAAAGATACATTTTCGGTCCATAATCTTTTCAGTCCATTTTCAAGATCAAAGTCCCAAGCAAACCTCTTCCCCCTCCACTCCTTTTTTGTGAAACTTCGGTCTCCATTTAAATGGGTCCACTTTCAGAGGTCCTTCTTCAGGATCAATGATCCTGAGTTAAGTAGTTTCTCCATTATCCTTGGTGCCTGTACCAGGCGCTCAATAAATGCCCATTCAAACAACTACTGCAAGACCAAGGCAAGGATTCAATATAAGTATTTCACTCTACTCTTTTGTCCCAAACTGACCTGGCAGACGGGGCTTCCTCCAGGCGAAGCCACATTCCAAACCCCACTGAAGCCCCAGATCCATTCTGAGGATGGGAGACACTTTCAGAAATTTCTCAATGTCCACTCCACAGAAGTCTAACGATTAAGTCTAAAATTTTAGTATTCCGTGATTTATGTACAAAATACCGTGCTCACTGCGGTGGGAGTGGGGGAGTGGAGCCACAAAGTAATTAAAAAGCATCCCCTGATCTTATATACTACATTCTGGGAGTCATGGGAAAGTGCACACAACTGCATATGATCAATGAATCCACGGATTCTTCAGAGTCCAAGGCTGTTCTCACGTTTCTGTTCACTTGGCAGCTGGAAGAGAAGGGCTCTGCCGTACCAGCTTGAGAACTAAGACCACCCTGTTTTCAACTGGTCCAGAGCCGTGCTCTGCAAAAACATTATGTGCTTTCCACTCTCTGACACTGAAGCGTCTGTTCACGGCTCTGCCCGGTTCGATTCAAATTCGGCTAGTCTGAAGAAAAAAAATTAAAGCCTCAACCTAAGTCAAAGGTCTCAGAAAGCCATGGGCTGGGAGACCCCGGAAGCGGGCGGAAAGCACCGGACTCGCCCACCGGCGGCTGGGCGCCGCCCTCCTCCACCCCGCACTGGGGGCGCGGCCGCCGCCTCCCT